TTGTTTATCAACGAAGCTCCTTTCCTCTTACAAATTTGGGTATATTAGTGATAGCACAAATTATGCAACAATACAAGAAAGGAAATATAGATATCTATGTATATTCTTGGAATGCGCACTTTATCCTTAAGAGTTTTATTGCCCAAAAGTTCTCCTTTTGGCTATTAAAATTGGACACAAAAAGGGAATTTTAGATGATTTTTTTATTGCTTCCTAGTTTTTAGTTCCGCTATAGAAAGTTGTATCTTATTTCCTAATATATAAAATTTAATCGATTTTTTATTGCTTGCTTCGCTCATAATACCAAATAAAGGGCCTGAAATTCTTTTTTTTTCTTTTAATATACAGTCTTAGATATTGGTTTTAAATAGGTCAAAGAAAGTTTTTGTCAAACTTAATAATTTAAGGATTTTCCTAAATTAAGAATTAAATAAATACTTGCACTTATAATTCTATTCAACTATATGTGGTCGAAATTTTATTATTACGCTCAACTAAAAAATTAATCTGATAATCACCTATATTATAGATCTACAAGATGACCTTCAAAACAAAAAAAAATTAGTTCGATTCATCATTTGTTATATTATACTATATTGTCAATTACAATGTCACCTGTCAGGGAATTCAGGAAGTTAGCAAAGTTATTTTGCTTCCTGTTTTTGTTTTCGTTCTTTGGTGGTTAACTATTTTTCGGTTTTTTAGGACTGACCCCTCTCTTCGTTTCCCAGGGCAATGCTTTTACACAAATTATTTTACTTAGCTTTGGGAGAAATAATAAATTATGGCAACGGAAATCAAAAAGCCACTTCAGCGAGCAACCAAAACCGGCATATTTGGCTATCCAGTCCCTTGAATCCCCCCGGATTTATATAGTTGCCATGGGGGCTACGATGGTGGAGATGCCTTTAATAAAGCATTACGAGCTTGGAGTGGGTGGGTAGTATACACAGGTTGCTACACACTTGAGATTGTTGCAACCGTAGCAGCAAACAACAACAACGACAACTTGGCCCGGTTGTTTGCTTTGTTTTATGGCTAATTTTAGACAATTTATGAAGTGTTGGTTATGCTTGATAAGAGCCTCAAGCGGAAGCAACAACAACAGCAACCAGCACAATAATAACAAACTGCGGAACAATTCATGCAAATGAGCTCCGCTTAAAGTCCTCGCCTTGGCACATTACGCATACGCCCCGTAATGCGCGACAAATGATAAAGCCGCATAAGCCGCTCCCTCAGTTTATACACTATTAAAAAAAAAAATCTATTTAATCCAAGTATTTCTACTCACTTAAATTTTTTTTATTTGATAAATATCAAACCATTATTTAAATATTAAATCTTTTGTAAGTAATTTTTTAATAATATTTTCGGAATAGATATTAACAATTAAAAGTTATAAAGTATTGTTTAATTTTGAAACATATTGAACTCAAAGCATGTAAAATAATAAATATGCTTTATGAAATCATTATTTTACATATTAATTCAAAAATTTAAATTACTTTTTAGACATTAATAATTTTAATTCTATAAGCTTTTACAATTTGACAATCATTGAATTTAATATTTTGATTTTATAATTAATTTAGACTCAAAATATGAAATTTTGGATTCAATAGACAAATGTATATTTTTATTATTCCATTCTTTATCAGTGTATATATGAAGGTACCCTTCAGGAGGGTATGAAGCTATCACGGCTGACATATGAAGTTGTTAATTTTCAACAGCAACAAAGCACAGAGTTCAAGATGAAAAAGCGGGAAACATAAAGAATGCCTTTTGACAAGACTTGTTGACAAGAGTGACTGACATCTTCATCTGTTTATACATTTTTTCCTTCAACCTTTTGCATTTGCCTAATGTACCCATGTGGGTGGCAGGAAAATAAACTTGATAACTTGAGAGTGGTAATTAAAATGTATCCCCGGAAATCCGAGTGCAATTTAGGGTGAGAGGCCAAAGTCATCATAAATAAATAATCATAATGACTGGAAGTTAAAGTAATAAAGTATGCATTGTAACTTACACCATTGAAAAGATTGACGTCGATAAATATAAGACATAAAGAATACTTTATTTATAGGAAAACTTTGAGTTGGCAAAGACTTAGAAAGTTAAAGAAAAACTCAGGCCTTTAGACCCATTAAAATCTGAAATCAGTTTTCAAGTTTTTGAAAATCATCAAAAATTAAAAATAGATAATATAAAAAAAAAGTATGAAATTTTACTGGAAATTACTGGAAGAATACATTTTCTTTTATAGTTTAATATTTATTTTAGCAAGTCAACGAATTGTAATAAAAACTATTTTATTCTTATTATTGACCTGTAAATATAGTGCCAATTAAATGCCTTTCTTGGAAATTAAAAACTACTATAAACCAAGAGCCAAAATAAATGAAAATCAGTAACGCAATTTGCAGCACAACCACATTTCAAATTAGCCACAGCTCGACATTTAATGCCGACATTATTGAAAGTAATCAAATATTATTCCCCCTTTAGCATATTGGTAAAACAGAGATACGGGATGGAAAGTGAAAGCGAGACGGTTTAATTATTCAGATTAAATGCTAAATAAACTGATAGGCAGCAGTTGGCAAGTGTTGTGTGTTTTCCGCTGGAGTGGCGAGAGTTCTGTTTGCCAACCATTGAACATTTTCAAAACGTTATTTGTCTGGCTGCTGGCATTTTGTGGCATTTACTGTGGTCCTTTAGGAATTTGTGCCCACACCTCGAAGAAAATAGCATTAATGTGACAACAACTTTAAGCCAGAAATCCGCTTACAGCAAGCGAACTGGACCACATGCCATCAACTTGTAATATATATTTTTATGGCCTTTTAATAGAGTCATAAAAGTGCATTGTTTTGATCCCCATCAGACGTCAGAATGTGTTGAATTACTTGGATGCTGTTTATGGCCCTCTGACACGAAAAGTTGGAGATGATTATCGATTTACGGAGGTGGTTTGTGCATGTAAAATATAGTACATACCCATTCGTACCGCAATGCACTTGCATAGTTGGAAATCCAGTTAAAAGTATTTCATCAATCAGCTATTCGGCTTAATGAACTATTTCCTTAGGCTGTAAATTATGCATCTTGAGATATTTCAATCTACACACGAAGAAAATTATTACTTACATAATTTAACATACAAAAACAAAAATGTTACAACAATATATCCAAAAACATAATAAATAATCTTAATAACAATTAAATAAAACTTAAAGACAAGAAAATTGAAATATATTGTTAAAAAATTAATTAATAAATATATAACGATTTAAATAATTTATATTTTATTTCAGAGTTTAAGTTATGTTGCTTTAAAGATTATAAGAAATCTTAATGGCAAAACAATTGTGTTTGAACGCCTTAATGAAAAATGTAAAACTAAAATAACAAAAATACATTTTATTTCATGCGCAAGAAATCTCAAATTTTCATACAAAATATTCCTTAATAATTTGTCCAGTAAAATTCCACGGTTTGTCGGAAAATATATTTACATTGCGCATAGGTCTTTTGAAAAATCCCCTTGAAACGAGTAATTCAGTACCAATTACAAGTTGTTTAATTAAAATGTTGTCTGCTTTACAAACTTGTAGTAAACATAGTTTATATGCGCATAGCACTTCAATACCAATCGATGGTGCTATTTGATTAAAATTTATTCTGTTTGAAAGGCTTGTATTTAACATTTGGTTCAATGAACTGCAATGTAAACACTTCGTTGGAGGAAATCTGTGAGATGGATGGGCACTATTGCGATGGGTCACTCCAACACGCTCCAAAGTTTTGTCAACTTTATAAATGCCGAATACCCCGCATTTGTAGATTTATTCCCATTCGGTTTTGCCCTCTACTTAAGCACGCGCTGGCAAGTAAAATGTTTCAGCAACTTTCAACTTTGACATAATGCAAATTATTTGATTTCATTTCATTATTTGTTTATCTCAGCGACTCTCGACCCTCTGCAACTTTTTGGTAAGTGTTTAATTTGGTAAACTCATGGAGGGGAATAAAGATGATAGGGGGATGAGGATGAGGACCGAGGACCTGCCATACATTTTAATAGCCAAGGCACATAAGCCACTTTGCGATGAAACAGTCGTGGCCATGTCAAACCACAAAACAATTTAAGTTACAAACATTGAAAACTTTTCTATTTGCCGCAGCAACAAATTCGCAACAGCCGAAAAGTTTTGCAGGCGGAATAAACAACTTTTGAGCTATTTCATTTTTTTTTTGTGATAAGGAATTTTTGGGGCAACATCCTGGATCCACATCCACTTCACTAACAACTGACTGACTGGTCATTCCTCATACGCCCCGTGGGCGAGACTCGTGTCTGTCAATTGCTGCTGGCACACAGGGCGTATGATTGACATCGCCCCTCACAACAAACTCACAACTCGCAATAAATTCAATGATTAGCTCACTTGAGCGCACCGCTCATCCATTGACTCCACTTATATTATGGTGCTTCATTTAATATGTTTGGACGTTGATTAATTGTCTGTTTATGTTTCTTGTGCTTTTCGACTTGGCACAACAGATGTCTGAATCCGTTGCATGCGCTTCAATAATTATTTTGCAGTTACATATTTATCACGGATTCTGTATGGAATTTATATGGTTTCGAAAGCATAGCTCGGCTTGTTTATGTAGTTTTTTAAAAGTATTTTTCCATTTAAAAATAAACATTTGATTATGAAGCTTAAGAATTCGCGTCTTAAAGTCGAGAAACGAACGACATAAATAAAACTTAAATTAATTTCTGCTTTAAAAGAACAAAAATACTTCCAGTAAAGTTCCCCAATTAAAGAGCTTTAAATTTCCTCTTGAAGATTAAATTTAAATTTATTAATTAATTTTAAATCAGTTATATTTATAATGTATACATATATAATTTTTACAGTTCGTAAAGCTACCTCGAAAATGTTTTTTTTGTTTTATTTCCACTATCCGTAAATTTTCACCACTTTACCAAGTTGGATTTGGTTTATTTCTGGGTTTTCTGAAGTTTTAGCTCGGTTGACAATTCTCAAATATATAATTTTTGCATATGGCTCTAATACAAGGTTTAAACGCTACCCAAAGATTATTTATGTAAAATCAGGGGGCGTGGCGGGGCTTTATGTCTGGCTGTCTTAAAATATCATACAACTTAAGTTCTATAAGTGGTAAGGGGGTTTAAAGGATTTAACAACAATTGTGGCTAACACATTAATCATATAACGAAAGTTAACTAAAGTGGGTGAAAAGGCCGAAGCTAGAACATAATAGGTATATTTCACTCGAAAATTTTCAAATCCTCTGGTTTGGCAGGGCAACAGAGACTAAAACAGAGATACATCAGCAGCAGGAGCAGCTTTACGATGAAAAAGCAGAGATAACAGCTTCTCGTTGCGTCCGCCTCCTCCTTGTCGGGTTGAAATAAAAATCTTTAAATAGAAATTGGAGATTTTTTAACATATGAGCTAAAATTATTGAATATGATTCTTATAACTCTTGAATTAAAAAAACTAAGTTTGAAGTAAGATAACTTATAACTTATATAACATATATTTTATTTTATTTGTACGATGGAAAAATCTTTAAAAATTTGCCAAAATGTCCTTTCTAACAATTTTCATAATTTGTTTCAAAGTAAGCCAAAATTAAAATTCACTACCATCGAAGTAAGGAATTGCAATCACTTGAAAAAAAAGGTTTAACAAATTTTGAAGAACAAAATAAGACAGAATTACTTTAAAATATGATCAAAGTTAAAAATTGCGAACTTTAAATTGAAAAACAATTTTAATGAAATTTTGAAGGTTAAAATAAGATAATTAAGAAATTGCTAGTACTTTTAAATAAAAATGTCCTTAATATAAGGGAACAAAATTTTTTTGAGTTAGCGTTCATTTACTCTTAAAAACCCAATCATGTTTTAATAAGTTCTTTTTTATTTTTGCCTATTGCCTATTAAAACTACTTTCCACACAATTTTCACATTTTAAAGAAGATTTTTAAGAACATAATATAATAATCTGATCGAATTAAGAAGTGGCTAAGCTTTCTAAAATCATCAACTATTAGACTTGCTTTAAAGAAATTGATGACTAATAACCTTAAAGCCCGTATAAAACAATTCACTAATATCATAAAAACCTACATGAAACAACTGATTTTATAATCTTTAAAACTAATAATCCCACATTCGCACCTGATCTCGTTACAGAAGTTCGGCCAACTCCTGTTCCTGGGCCAGCTGCTCCCGTTCCCGCTCCCGATCCCGCTCCTGGTGCTCCTTCAGCTCCCGCGCAGCGCGCTGCTGCTCCTCCTCCTCCTGCTGCTGCTGCTGTTGCTGCTGCTGCTGCTTCTTGCGGTGCTCGTAGTTCACGAGCCGCTGACCCACCAGATACTTATCCACCTTGATGGACAGATAGAGCTTCTTCAGCTGCTCGATCTGGAACAGAACGAAGTAGATGCTGCCCACCACAATGAAGCTGACCGGATAGACGAGCCGAGCGACGACATGCCGCACAAAGGCGTCGGCCAGGAAAATGGGGAACACCATGTGTGCGAGGACATAGGGACCGGCCAGAGCCAGGCCAAAAGTGGTGACCACCGGCACGGCCAAGTCGCGCATCACAAACTTCAAGTCGAAGTCGCGCAATCCATCCATATAGGCGCGTTCCAGAGCCCTTTTCAAATGCCAATCCGGACCCATTAGAGTCAAGGCGATGGCTATCTTGCTGTACAGCACTCCCAGCGCCCAATCCTGCCACAGAAAGTGGATGGGTGTCTTGCGCAATGGCACGCGTAGCGGTATGACCACCACCAATTCGAGTAGTAAGCCAAAGAGTAGGGGAACCAGCACAAAGATTCCCAGGAGTGTTAGAACTGGCAGGGCATATTGCAAAGCCACTCGTGCCCAGTGCTTCAGTTTGCTCACAATAGCCGCTCGTCCTTGGGGCAGCAAGGTGACCACCACGGCCACTCCACGGCAGACAATCCAGCACAGGTAGCCACCAATCTCAGCGGTGTAGAGTTCATGGGAGCGCAGCAATCGCTCGTTTTTCCTGGCTCCTTCCGCATCGATTGGAGCTAGATTCTGCGCTACTACAACTCCTCCGCCTGCTGCTGCTGCGGCTGCTTCTGCTACTGCTGCTCCGGCTGCCTTCTCACCCGGCTGACCAGTCCAGAGCATCATCAGCCGGCGACCAATGTAGACGGGAACGGTGAGCGTCAGCATGGCAGCACACACAATGGATAAACACATAAGGGAAAGCAGGGCGCACAAACGGAAGGCAAACCAAGAGGGCTTCTCGTACGGCTGGAATCCCACGGGTGCATCCCGTTGCATCATGGCCTGATGGGCAGCGGCCAGGTTTCGCGGTGGAGGCGCTGGTTCCACCGGTGGTGGCGGTGGAGGCGGCGGCGGTGGTGGTGCAGCAGCAGCAGCAGCGGCTCCCCTCATTATCTTCCCCCTGATTGCCAGCATTCTCCACTCCTTCCTCGCCGGCGGCGGGATTCTCGGGCTCTGGCTCGGGAGCCGGCAACAGATAGCTTCGAATGCCCAGCAACCAGGCCACCGCAGTGCACCAGATGCGTAGTAATCCCTTTAGCCAAATGCGCGTTTGAGTTTGCTCAAAGAAGCCGGGTAAAACGATCTAAAAAGGGAAATGTGTCTCGTGTTTATTTAAGTATAATAAAATATAATATAATTTAAAATGCTTTAAGTATTTAGCTTTTAAACTGATCTTGCAAACGGTCAGTCTAGTCATGATGATCAATAACTTTACTGCATTACAAAGTTATGACCCTATAATAAATAAGAGTACCAATCCAAATAACTCACCTGCAAAAGCAGCAACTGCAGACTGAGGTCGTTGACCTCCGCATCGCCACTCAGAGCATAGGGCAAGAAATTGGGCCAGGCCACTTGTAAAATCCTGATGGGCAGCCAGAGCATCAAGAGCACGGCGAAGCCAAAGATCATGGCCGAGGCGACCAGGCGACGGATATGCCGCACAATTGGAACATGGATCATTTCCTGAATGGGACTAAAGTCCGGATCGTTGACATTGCGGAAGATCCAGAGCACACCGGGCCGCAGAACTTCCCTTAACAGCGAGATGAAAGCAGCAAAGTAATAAACGTAGACCATGCCAAACATCCAGTGGACGAAGAGTGAGGTGCCCGGAGCGGCTTTAAAGCTGGCCTTGCGATCCTTCAAACTGGCATCCAGTAAGGGCAATGAACAGATGTCCAGCCACCAGCCGCAAATCAGCGGGAGTACTCCAATCTCCACGACGGAAAGTAGCGATACCTTCACCACAATATAGCATAAACCAATGAACCAGCAAACCCGTCGCAATCGGAAAACTCTGGCGAAGAAGTGCAGCACCACCAGGGTCAGGCCAATGCAGCAGTAGCCAAACAGAGTGGTTATCAGGCCATGGAAGTGTAGCAATGGCTTCTCCGGCTGGAGAAGATCCATGGAGCTCAGGATAAAGTTGCCCACGCAGTAGGGGCAAAAGGCGAAGGTAAAGATGAACATGGTGTTCAGCGAGATGATCCAGAAGACGTGCTCGAGGAAAACCAGGGAGCCATCTAGGCCCAGCAGGCGTTCCCAGGTGAGCTCCTCGGCAGCACGATCCCATTCCATGGGATTCCAATTCTGCTCATCCGCATCGGCATCTACAGCGGGTGCTGGAACTGCTGCAGCTGGAGCCGCTTCCTGGGCAGCTGCATCCTCGTTGTCCGCCGGAGCAGGTGCCTCATTGTCCATGGGCACATCCTGCGGTGCATCATTGCCATTGTTGTTGTCATCCTGGGGCAGAGGAGGAGCTGCTACCTCTGCAACGGGAGCCTGGGCAGGATTAGCTGCTGCCGCCGCTGCCTGCAGTGGGGCATCATCGCGCTCCAGCCAATCGGGTCCACCGCCGTGTAGGATCTGCTCCCGCAGCCAGACCAATCCTATAAACGATAGCAACGTGCAGGTGACCACAAAGCAGCCGCGAAAGGCGTCCGCAGCCAGGTTTTCCATGGAGAAGATGTCGAAGGGCAGCGTGAGTATCATGTCGAAGGAGCTGGCCCGGAATAGATACCGATAGGTCCTATAAGCGGACAGGGGGACGACTCCAAACCACGCCATGCCCACCAGGGAGTAGTGGAGCCAGCAGCGGGCGCCCTCCAAAACGGCGGACATGAGTCCCACCAGGACATCCTTTAGCGGCAGGACACGCGGCATGTCCGGGGCATAGATGGGCTGGAAACTGAAGCGGTAGCCACACAGTTCGCAGTACTCCTTGTGCGAGTAGCGCATCCATTGCATCAGGCAATCCTGGTGGATGTACTTGATCGATCCCGTGCAAATGCATGGGTAAAACAGTGGCCTATCCGACTGTGCCTCACAGCGGCACACGCGGCATATGTCGCCCGAGAGGTCATCCATTTTTGATCCTTGGAATCCTTGCAGTCCTTCAATTTAACCCAGTTTGGCAGTCAAAAGTTCCATCAGCCATTTGCGCAATTTGCACTGGGCAACTTAACTAATTGGCTTGGGCTTTCCTGATATTCCAATCGATACTCTCCGCTTTTTAATCACGCCAACTAATTACTCGTTTTTTTTACAGACCCTCAGGGCGCCTCTAACACTTGAATTTTAACCGAGAACTTGTGATATTTATTACGACAAAACAAAAATATGCAGTTCACAAAAAAAAGTGGCAGCCACCTCGAATCAGTGTGTGCACACCTCGAAAAAGGTGAAAATTTGAAAAACAGAGTTGCCACATAGCTCGTCACAGGACATAACGGGAACTGTCACTGCTTACTTGATATTTATTTAGCATCTTTAAAAAATTGAAAATAAAAAAGTTCCAAGATTCATCGCAATTAATCGCATTGTAAGAAAAAACAGTCAGTCAGCTAAAATTAAAATAATAATTGGCTTTACTAGCGAATATTAAATAATAATGTTGATAAGCAATAACTTAAGCAAATTAATTTGGTTCGGTATTAAAAGGTAAATAAATAAATAAATGGTGATCTGTTCTCCTTATACCTTGGAGTCACGGAACCAGTTCTTTTGAAGAAATAAGTTGGTGAACTCTGGTCTAACGATCAGTCTATGTATCTACAGTATAGAGACAGGACATTTGCAATTTGTGTTCTCTCTTTTTCAAATCAGGTAAAAACCATATTTTTTTTATTTTAATTAACTTTTTTTGTACAAAACAAACTGTTTGAAATAAATGTGCGCTTTAATGATATTTTAATATAAATATGTTATATTTGCTTTTTAGTTTCTATCAGATTTAAAAACAATGGTAAACGGGATAAGTCACGCGTTCGAGGACTGTTTTCGTAGGGCACGAATTGCGTCCATTCAAGCTCAGTCCATCCACCTTCCGCATTTCATAGAAGCCATTCAATGCTCCTTTGACAACTGCATTCTGACTAAGTGCAACAGGATGAAACGCTACATTCGGCACTATAAGCAATGCCAACTCAAGAGAACTGGGAGATGCCAGGCATGCAGAATCTTAATAATCATCAAGTGCTCCCACGTCCTAAACTGTAAGGAGAAGCAGTGCTCCTTTCCTGATTGCTCCGAACTCAAGCAAAAGGTCAGGAAATATCTGGATTAGGAAAATGGAGTACTAAAGGAAATCAAATGAAAAAAAGGAGACTATTATGTAAGGGCACCAAAATATTATATGTTTTTCTTCCATTTGACAATAAAATACATATATATAACCAACATTTAGGAAACGTTTTGTTTTTACCCGGGCTCTTGTTACCAGACCGCATGTTGCACGCTAGACCTCTTATCCAGTTTTAGATAGTTAAGGAAATCAAGGACTTACCTTTATTAAAAAAAACATGACCAAGTAGTGTATTTAAGCTTAAATAAAATGTAATTGAAAGATTTAAGTTCCATTTTTAAGTAATACATTTATTTATTTTTATCTTATTTTTAAACTCGTGACTGCAATTAGCCGTGAGTTTAATAATAACAGTTCCCTTAAAAGTATTGCCACACCCGAGGTGGCATCACCTGCAATCACTTTGTCTGGCAACTCCCCACCGTCTTGTTGTTGTTGTGATTCTCTTGTCATTATTTTGCAATCAATTCTTAAAAAGATTTGGCATACCAAAAAACGAGGAAAATAAGCCATGCAGCGACAAATGATTAATATTTTGGGACATACAACGCGCCGCTTGGTCAGTGGTCAACAAATCCGCCAATTGTCAGTTTCCTCGCGGCGCCAGGAGATCTTCAAAGTACAAAGTGCCGAGGATTTCGACAAGAAAGTGAAGAACAGCCAGCAGCCCGTGATTGTGGACTTTTTTGCAACGTACTTTGGATTATATTTTACTTAAGTAATCAGCAATTAATTGTTATAATTGAAATCCCCACAGATGGTGCAATCCCTGCAAGCTGTTGACACCCAGAATCGAGAGTATTGTGGGCGAACAGGCGGGCTCCATAAAATTGGCCAAAGTGGATATAGATGAGCACAGCGAACTGGCTTTGGACTACGATGTGGCCGCCGTTCCCGTCCTGCTAATCATGCAAAATGGCAAGGAGGTGCAGCGCATGGTGGGCCTCCAGGATGAGGACAAAATTCGTGCCTGGATTGCCGCCGCCGTCAAGCAGGCAAAATAGGATCTGAATCACCCAAATATTAGAGGATAACTCCTTGTAAACAAAGCCCAGCTTTAAATTATTCGGACTTTCGAAATAAATGTTTATTTACCCGTTGAAACAACAAAGAAACTTAGGCTATAGACTTAAAAACTAAATGGAAAACCAGCCTGGAGTGCCGGGCCTTTTCTTATTCCTGTCCAGAAACCGGCGGAAACCTTCCTTGGAGTCATCAAGTGACTTCTCTTCTTTGGCCTGTTTTTCAGCCTTTTCCGAGAAGAAATCGGGGAAGACAAACGACTCTTCCCTGGGCTATAATATACGATATTAATATAATAAAATCTCATTAGGAATCCAGATTTCCATACCAATGTTACATAAGCCAGTTTCACATCATCTTTCTTGGTGATATAGCCATAGGTTTGATCCTTTTTGGTTTCGCCCAGGGCAATACGAGTTCGCACATCCACCACTGGCAGTTTGTAGATCTTCTCCAGGTAGCTACGCACATCGTATTTGGTCATTTCCATTGAAACCGAAAAGGTGACCACATTTGGGGGCTGCTCCTCCGTGGGACGAATCAATTTCATCCAGAAGTTGGGGAGGAAAACCCGGAGTTGCGGATTACCGCGCTGGTAGATGGGATACCACCTGGTGGACATGATGGATTAGGAACACCGGTTTTTATTCAAGATTTCCGAAATTAAATTAATTGTTGTGCCTTTTACAAAATGCACTAAAAAAGGCCAAAGGTTTCATGCGGGACATGGGTGGAGCAAAAAGGGGATCGTGTTTGTATAACCCCCCCAATTAAATTGGAACTCATAAAAGAGCAAGAAATAAATCAAAAAATATGATTGGATTTCAAGAAGATATGTATGTCGAAATCGCTGGAAACAGTTTATTTATTTTTGTATTAGGCAAGATAACAATTTATCTGAAATAGTATTATAATAAAAATTTAAGATTTAACAAGTACAATATATGATTTAATTAACAAAATTTAAGTGTGTATATTATTCAGGTGCTTTAATAACTAGACCCCTTTTAAAATAATTTCTACCTACGCTTATGGCAAAGCACGTGGCTTGTCCAACACTAGTCCAAAAACAGCTGTTGCTCCAATCACAACAATTTTTAAATGTGATTTGACTGAAATTGCTTGAGATTCTCAACCAACATGGTTAAAATAAAGAAAAAAGAGGCCAAAAAGAAGCCCTTGACCCGCAAGGAGCAGAGGAAGCAAAAGTCCGAGGTTAAAAAACAGAATAAACGACTTTATCATGCCGGCAAAGTAAATGGAGCTCAGCGCGTGGCTGCGGCGGCAGAGGCGTTGGCAGCGCAGTCGCTACAAGGCAAAAACAAGAAGAAGAAAAGCAAGAGCAAAAAACCAAAAATAAATCCAGATGAAATTCCCAAGGAACAACTTTTATCCGGCGAAATCGACAGCGATGATGATGAGTCCTTGGATTCGGATTTCACTGATCCCGAAGTGGATGCCCTGATGCCCAAAAGCATGGCAAAGGTGGAAGTTTTCGAACCTCTTGGTAAAAACGTCAAGAAAATCCCAGGCGGAGCCATCCAAAGACAGGATGAGGAAATGGTCAGGAGAAAGGAGTTACGCCAGCAGAAAGAAATCACAACCAAGTCCAAAAAGCAGCGTCTCAAGCAATTGCGAATCGAGAACGAGGAGGAAGATCGCGAGATCAACAAGCTGGAAAAGAAGCTTAAACTCAACAAATCCAAGGATAAAAACCGTCTGGTGAGGAAAATGTTCAACGATGGCTTGGATTACCTGCTAGACTTTGTGCTGGATGACGAGGAGGAGAAGCTGAAGTGGGAGGAAAAGCAGGAGAGGAAGAAACGGCTGAAGGAGCAGCAGGAAAAGGAGGAGGCGGGCATGTGGAGCGATGAGGAGGAGCAGGAAGATCAAAATGATGACTTCCCAGAGGATCCAAGTGCTTCAGAGGATGATGAGGACCCCAGTGGAGATGAAGAACAAAGCTATGAAGAGTCCGAAGACGAAGAAGAGAATACCAAAAGTGAGTATATCATAGGGTTTCTGAGTAATCACTTAACCTTCTTCTCAATTCCCAGTTAAAGAAGACATCTATGGACGAAAACGCGATGCCGAGGGCAACATTTTGCCTGATCCCGTGGAGAAGGAAGCCTCTGCTGCCGGCCAAAAGTACATACCACCACATCAGCGTGCTTTGATGGCCGCCAGTGCAGGAACCAGCGAAAAGCAGGCCGAGATACTGGCTCGACTGCTTAAACAATGCAAAGGTCTGCTCAATCGATTGTCCGAGGCCAATCTTCACAAGATTGCCGCTGGCATAGAGGCTTTATACATGAAGAACTCCCGCTACAACATGAATGAGACCCTGACGAAGTTACTCCAGGAAGCCTTGCTGGGAGCCACGCGGACCAATGAGCGAATGGTGCAGGAACACATGGTTCTATTGGCCTATCTGCATGCCCAAATAGGCAGCGAGATCGGTGCTCACTTTCTGCAGACATTTGTGGAGCTATTCGATGGTTATGTCAAGGATATTAATAACTTGGAAGTTGAAGACAAGCAGTTGAACAACCTAGTGCTAGTTCTCTGCTACATGTACCTCTTTAAGATTTTCGAGCTGAGTTTGCTAATGGAGCTTATTGGCAAATTGTCAGATCAGCTTTGCGAGAAGAGCGTGGAGTGTCTTTTGCTGATATTCCAATCCATTGGTTTTCGCCTGCGCAAGGATGATCCACTGGCTTTCAAGACCATGATGCAGAGAGTTCAATCGCAGATTGCCAGCGCACCACTGGAACTCAAGGAGAATCCTCGACTGCGTTTCATGGTGGACATCCTGAACGCTGTCAAAAACAATAATATGCAAAAGCTGCCTCAATATGATCCAGAGCTGGCGGAGAATCTACGAAAGCGTCTGAAGGCCATGCTGAAAAACGATCGCTATGTGGTAACCTTAAACATTACGCTAGAGGATCTCCTGCGGGCTGACAAAGTGGGCAAGTGGTGGATTGTGGGCTCTGCCTGGACGGGAAATCTCGACGAGATGGGTTCGGCCAAACAGAAACAGGATAAGAACTCAGCTAAATCTGCGAATGGTGGATTTGCTGATCAGCTACTGGAGCTGGCCAAAAAGCAGCAGATGAATACTGCCGAAAGGAGGAATATCTTCTGCATCATCATGAGTGCCGCTGATTATGTGGATGCCTTTGAGAAGATCCTCCATTTGGCTTTGAAAGATCAGCGGGCAGTGGCCTATGTGATCATACATTGTGCCCTCAACGAGAAGCGAGCAAATCCCTACTACGCCCATCTGGCCCTCAAGTTCTGCCAATTTAATAGGAAGTATCAACTGGCTTTCCAGTTCGCCAGTTGGGACAGGATTAACGACATTGAAAAGCTCTCGAAACCGCAGATTCGTAATCTCGCCAGCTTTCTTCAACAAGTAATCCTAGCAGCTGGCTTGCAGCTTTCTGTTTTAAAAGTGGTGGACTTCATGCAGCTGGACAAACTCAGCTTTTACTTTATGAAAGAAGTAATGGTCAGGTTGCTTTTATCGCCCGACGAGCGGGAAGTCTATCAGACATTCGAAAGAGTCGCCAAGAACTCAAAGCTTCAGCAATTTAAACAGAGTGTTAGACTTTTCCTGCAGCATTTCCTTTTGAAATCGGACCAACTGGACAAGCTGAAACTCAAGGAGGAGGAGCAGCAGCTGCTGCAACAGCGCGTGGATCATTTGGACAAGATGTTGGCCTATGTTGATATGTAAATATAAGTAGAGTTTTAAAGCAACCTTATTAATTTGTAAATAAAACTTTTACTCTAAGAGTAGGAAATATATTCTGAGTTTTTAGTAAGAGATTGAATAATGGGTGGTTTATACCTCGGAAAAATGTTTTTATTTCAACAGAAAGAAATAAATATCTAAAAAAGGAAATTTACTTTTATATATTTATTCGACTAAATGATCTAAACTTCACCATAAATAAGTTTTAATCATGATCTTCGTAAAATAAAAAGGCGATTCTTTATTAAACTCTAAAAACACATTAACAACTAACATAAACAACTAGTCGAAGCTCTGGAGAAGATCGCGGGCACGCTGGTACCGCGTGGACTCGATAAGTTTCTGTCGTTCAGCCTCATCCTCCAGCTTTTCGCCCTCTTTGTCCAGTTTCTGGATAACCTCCTGGGCCAATTCGCTGATCTTTGAGCGCGCTGCTCCCTGGGAACTGGCCAAATACTCCAGAGCAGTTGGCCAGAGATCTGCGTCCAGTTTCTCCTCATCGAAAGCGGTTTGTTGGATGGAAATCTGCCGGAGTTTAATGAACTTCCACTCCTGACGCGATTCCTTCCATTTCAAGAGGTATTCCTTGTTGATTTTGGCTTCTTTGTTGGTGTTCTGGTTCTTTTGTGCCTCGAGGCGCTGCTGGTGCTTCTGTTTTTTCTTTTGGCGCACGGTGACCACGGCATTCGAGTTTTCCGGAAGAGCTGCCTCTTTTAATTGATCTTCTGTGGGCTGGGAATCTTCTTCCTCGTTATCTGAATTGTTTTCCTGCTTGCTGCGCTTCTCCTTAATGGGTTTTCTTGATTCCTGAAGGTTTTTTCTTTTCAGAGGCTTCTGTAAAGGAGTTTCTTCGCCTTCATTGGTGGCCACCTGCTCATACGCCGCCGATTTTTTGCTGCGTTTCTTGGTAGCCAAGACTTCTTCTCCTTTTTGTCGCCTTTTGTGCGGTTTATCTGTATGTATTTAAATTTTTACATATATCTAGTTCATGTTAAATACAAAACATACCTGTTGGAGCAGCCTGTTGCTCCACCTGTGGCTCCAAAATTAGACTTTTGTTGGCCACCTCGTCGTCGGATGCCGCATTTTCAGAATTTGCAGCCGCCTCGTGCTTGCGTTTCTTGCCTTGACGTTTTGCCTTTTTCTCAAGCTCAGTGCGGGCCATTGCAGCAGCGTTTCCGTTTAAAAACAACTTAAAAAGTCGATTTAAATCAGAAAATTTTAAAAAACCTCTTGTATTCCAAGCAAAATGTGATTTTTGTGTCGTCGATGTTAACCAACACTGAAAAATGATGGGTCACACCATACTTAGATAAACAGTTTGGCAGCTCTCCAGCTGATAGCTTAGTCACCAGTGATCTGGCAACGCCGAAAAAATAAAACAAAATATAATTCCAATTGCCAAATCTTAGCTTTTGTTTATTAATATTAACAAGCCATAAATCGTAAATCAGTGCATTTCGGTTGTAAAAGGGCGAGCCTATGCCGCCACGCATTTATGTAAACCAATTTCCTCCCGAGATCAAGAAAATATTAAAGAAACAAAATTTGCGGCGCGTAAATATAACCCGTGTGATATTTGTAATTTATTAAAATAAATGTAACTATATAGTTATCTTAAGTTTGATTAAGGTAAAGAAGAGTATTAAGCATTTAAACAGGTAAGTTTGCTATGAAAATCACTTATTTCCCTATATTATCTGGCGGCAACAACAACAACAAAGTTTGCTCCAACCGGCAAAATGCAACTGTTGTTTTGGCAGTTCGTGGGTGTATGTGTGTGTGTGTCACCGGCAAATAAAAACAAAAATGCGTGTTTTTTTGCGGTTTTAAAACGACAAGGGAGTCAATAAATTTATCTCAACAAGAAAGGAAGGCAAAATATTGAAACAGAAGGAGTTGGGAGTCCTTAAAACAGCTGTTGTTTGTCCGCAGGAGTGGGAGGAAGTACCCAAAATCCCAGCTGTATTTTAAAAAGGTGAGTGAAAACTGATATAAATATTTACAGTTACCTATGCATAGTATATATAAAGATAACACATTTACAAGAAGTACAGTTGAAATTTTTGGGTTTAATGTACGTACACTTACAGGGGCGGATTTAAGGAACTTATAGGCGAGGCTTTTAAATATTAATTAATTTTGTTATTTTATACCTAAACAATATTTTTATTTATTTAATAATACAAATAAAAAAATAATAGATAACTTCGAACTTCCATAACTAACATAACTTAACTTTTCTTATTCGAAATCTCAACCTGGTGTATTTTGATTAAAAGCCTAAAATAACTAAATTTAACTGATCAATGGAGAGTATTATATATTTTAAAATATATAAAGGCACATGTTACCAACCCATCAGAGCTGTGAACTATTGGTAGAGAGTGAGCACCAAAAGACCGTAAGATGGTAATTTTTGGCACCTCTAGTAAGATTTAGGAATAATTACCAAAAAGGTATTTATTATTGGTTATAAACATGTTTCCCAAAACAAAAAAATATTCAAATAATTTGAGTTTGAAAAATGACAAGAATAATCAGATAAAATAAATTTCCTTAAGATTTTCCATCCAATTTTACCCGGTTAATAAGAATTTCACTTTCATTCGGTGAATGCCGGCGCGCCCTCCGCCCAAATAATAGTTGTAAACAAAATGCTCAGTTGAAATGTTCACACATGATTTCTTCATCTTGCGTTTTGGCTCTTTGAGTAGTTTTCCGGCGTGGGCAAAAATAGCATTTTATCCGACTTTTCCTGAGTTTTCCGCCTATGGCCAAGTCGAGTGAGAGGAAAGCTCTCACTCAGGGGTCGCCTCAGAATTTGTTGGCCATTGGATTCCTCCGCTGGCCATTCAGTTCTGCTTTGGTTGTGTTCCTGTTCGCATCGCGTTTTCCGTTCGCGTTTTTCCGCCTTTCCATCGCGGTCTTTGGTGGCTTTTCCACGCGTTTCTATCCCAAGTTTTAACCAAATCGCTTTGGTTTCTAAATCGAAATAATCGAAATAATCCCAAAGATATTTCAGCAATTTTTCGGTGGTGAAGCGTTTCAAGATACATAGTATCTATAGCATTATCTGATTGCTAGGGCGGCGGCATCTTTACTGGCTAATTGGATTGTCAACAGCTAAAAACCTTCACAAGTGCAGACAGCGGACCTGTCACAACAAATAGAAAAATAAAGAAATAAAGGCTAACGACTCCGGTTAACTTCGCCGGTAAAACACGCGTGTGTTTTTGTGTGCCTGTGTCCAGTAATCAATATAGTGGCATTTGTTTTCGCGCGTTTTACTTTCTAACATACTTTGGTTCGGTTTACTCGGTTTTTGCCCCTCGGACCCTTTAACCCTCTATATTGCCTGCGGTTTCTGTGACAACGTGAGCGGCCTAAACAAACGCGAACAGGCCAACCCCATACGAAACGCAAGAAATATCGGCTAACTTTCTGTTCTGGAATGATAAAGCTCCGGCACCCAAATGCTAGTCAGTACGCGCTATAAGTGTAAGTACATACGAAAAACTTTTTTCAAACAAAAATCAGTATATTATTTTGGATTAAACTTAAGGAACGTTTAAATATGTTGTTGTTATCACAAAAAACTGTAAGTTAGAAAAAAACATTTAACAAAGATCACCATATGATTTTATAACAAATTTAAGGAGTGTAAGGAGTAAATCTAATAATAATAATAATCTTAGAGAAGGAAAAATTAAAAAAAGACATTGTAGTAAAACTAAATTTAAATGTATTCTACATATTACAAAACAGGCAGTTATATTGCATGTTTGATGAGTAATTCTTAACAAAATAAGGTTGGATGAGTTCTTCAAAGTCAAATACCTAAAAATTGTTTTGATGCATTTTCTCTCCGTGCAATTTCCTTATTTGTTTATAAACATTTCGGCACATCCGTTGGAACGAGCATTACATCAGCTGAGGTGGTGAGGTGTGGTCGAGGTCCACTTGTGTGCGTCCATCATGATTCAGATTCAGATGCGGATTGAAATCTGTATCTACTCTATGTGCTAGCAACTTGTATCTATTTGGCAGCCGCATCATCGGCATAATTTTCCACCTCCCCGCGTGCGTTTGTTTTTCCAATAGTATTTCTCTAAAATTGGATCAGTTCGTCGGCAATTAAGGCCCCCTAAAAATAAGATATATATATTTGAACTAAACTCATTCGTTCGTCTAATATGAATGAATCAATGCACTACATCATTTCTCTTGAAAGTTTAGGCTTCTCCGTGTGGTTTTTTGGGTTTGGGAGGTAGTATATCATTCCTGTAGCTCTCAAAGTGTCAAAAACTGATGATTGTGTAGATTTGAATGGGAAATTTTTCAGTTTTACAAACTTAAAGTGGGTGTTCTTTATGTTTTAGTACCTGTGACATGTCTTTCTTGAAACCAAACATTTCACCTTATTTCTTTGTTTCCTCACAGGTCTTAAATATAAATAAAATATTTTATACCAAAATTTATTTATTTTTGGGCCTTCTTTCATCAAAAAGTTGTAATTTTTTAATAACATTTAGCAGAGAAAAGGTTCTAGACATCTAGCACATGCCTTGCCCCTTGAGTTTTCCCTTTGTCTTTTTGCATTGCGGCACTCGTAAAATGTATATTTTGAGCACAAATGTCAAATATTGCTTTTTAAGGGTCACCGGCTAAACATTTTCGCTCTTTGCATATTTATTTTTCAATGTTGTCCATTGCAACTTGGCAAGTTGGCCAACAAAATACTTTTCTTTTTGCCTTTCTTTGCGAATAGCCGCCCTTTGGCTCATCGGTGGTTGGTTTTCAGATGGTTGAGTCATTCTCTACAAGGGTTGAGTGCATTTTTATGCTCCAATGATAGTTAGGTCGTAAATTCTTTGACCAGACTATGAGCAAACAAATTGCCGGCTTCCTTTGACGCTTATAATTCCCCTTCTAATGGTTTCTTGCTATAAGCTTTTTGATTTATTTCCTGAAGCAGAATGAAAATATATTCATTAGCTTTATTTTGATTTTGCTTGATTCCAAAGCCAGATATTTATTCTGTTCTCTTGCCATTCGAATTGACGTCAAATTGTTTATGCAGGCCATGGGCCGTTTAGTTGATGGCCGGCTGGTTTATATATTCTCTATATGTGAATGGATATATATCTATATGTGCTGCCGATACTGTTTGCCGATACTATAATTTCTATATAGGGAAATTAAACGGCAAACGGCGTCTTGATTCTGAATGCAAGTCAGGATTTGGCGACTCGAGGGCGTCACAGATTTGCGCGTTCAAAACGCTGCTGAAATATTAATGCACCGCCTCGATTTTCTTCTGTTTTTCGAATCGTTAAATATACATTATATAGCCATATTCATTTTTTTTTGGCTTAAATGGCGTCGCGCTGACACGCGCACTTCCGCGCACCGAAATGTTTTCAGAGAAAATCCCAAAAAAACAATTGCCAAAAATAAAAAAAAACTGAAACAAATACAATTTGTTTTTCGGGCGACAGAGTAACGACATGGGGGAGCAAGTGTTAAAATAAATTGTGACAGATTGTTTTGGGGGTAGCACACAAGCTGTATTCGATAGCTATATAATATCAGGGTTTCTTTACGATATGTCGCGTAATTTTAGCTCGTTAAAAAATGAAAAATTGTCTGGTCTGGACAGAGAAAACAATCGAGTCGGGGATAATGAGACATCCGCAAAGATTAATGGAATCTGTAAAAACTCTTGCTGTAAAGTGTCTTATTAAAATTGTGAAAAATTCTCTTGAAAAGTTCAATGATCTTTGTAATTTGTTTGGCACTTTTTACGTTTTTTATATCATACAAAATTTAAAATGGTACCAATTTTATTTTACAAAGCACTTTTTTCAAAGAAAAATACAAAAATGTTTAATTTTGGTCGAATTTGTGGCAGAATTCCTAGCTTAAAGGATTTACTGAGATCTTTTAAAAACTCAAGTGAATTCCAATACTTCTAAAACGTTTCCATTCCTTTCTCTATAAACAAATTGTTGAATAGGTAACATTTTCTATTTTCTTTCCCAACAGAAAACCCCAACAATATTTTAAAATATTTTCATACAGAAATTTAGAAAATTGTCTCTAATAAATTGTTAGGAACGAATTCCTATCTAGACATTAATTTACTAGACAGACCGACAGACGCATTTAGAAAAAGCGGACAAACAACAAAAGGCACAAGTATATTTTAAATGGGATACCCAAAATAATCCACAGATCTGACGACATCAGTGGCAATACGGAAAACCT